CAAGGCTGTACCAAGGAAGAAGTTAGAGACAGACCTATCCAAGTTGGCAATGATAAATATCTACTCCCAACTTGAGGGGGAGTATAGAGAACACTGATGTGGGCCCCACAGCAGTGGTCCCCACTGTGTTCGTAGGACAGCATGTGTAGTTATTTGTTTCAATCATAGTAGTGTCAATTGGGGTCAGTTTGTTATTTCAATTGTTGTTTATTTCAGTTTTTATTTACTTTATTTGTCATGTAAGTACTAAGGGCAGATCTGTCCTTTCCTCTATGTGCTGAACATAACCTATAAATACTAAGAGAGTGGCAGCGGCAGATGTGTTAGAATCTGTCCCTTCTTTCAAACCCTTGTGTTCTTCTGTTTCTCTTCTCTTCCTTCTTCTTCTTACTTTTCTTCTGCTTTTCTAAACTTAAAATCTATTAGGGTTCAAGACTGATTGCAGTCTTGATCTTCTACTAGCACTAGAACGAGAAACAACATTAAGTTTCTTACTCCTCCAATAGACAAGATTACCTCCTACAAAAACACAATATTCTGAGGTAGATCTTCTATCATCAACACACCCAACCCAATCAGCATCTATGTAAACTTCTATCTTCATGTGATCATTATTCTTGAATTGAACACCTCTGCCTGGGCACCTCTTCAAATATGCCAATATCCTCTCAACTGCAAGTAGGTGAGTAGTTCTAGGAGAATGCGTATACTAATTAACAACGTTGATTGAATAACTGATGTCCGGTCGTGTGAGACAAAGATAGAGGAGTTTTCCAACTAACCATTGGAACATAGCTTTATCTTCAAGGGGCTCTCCACCCTTTGCACTGATCTTGTAATTCTGTTCAATAGGTGTGTCAGCAGGCTTAACGCCCAACTTCCCAATTTCTTCCAACAGGTCAAGAACATACGTTCTTTGAGAAACAAAAATCCCATGCTTGGACCTAACTACCTCAATACCCAATAAGTATCATAATTATCCCAGATCTTTTACCTCACACTCTTGATGAAGGAGTTGCTTAAGAAACTCAATCTCACTGTTATCACTCCCTGTCACTACAATATCATCCACATATATAGCAAGCAAGGTTAAGGAAGAATCCACTTTCTCAATAAACAAGGTGTGATCTGACTAGGCCTATACATAACCAAACTTTTCAAGGGCTTATCTGAATCTATCAAACCAAGCTCTGGGGGACTGTTTTAGTACATACAAGGCTTTGTTCAGCCGGAAAACCTTCTTTCCTGTTTCTGCACCATAAAATCCAAGAGGCAACTACATGTAAACTTCTTCCTACAAGTCTCCGTTGAGGAAGGCATTTTTAACATCCATCTAAAACAAAGGCCAAGAGTAACTGGCTGCAAGAGATAATAAAACTCTGATAGTGATCATCTTTTCTATTGGTGCAAAAGTCTCCAAGTAGTCGATACTATGTGTAGATTAGGTCGTGACCTGCTCTGATACCATGTGAGAATTTGAGAGAAAAAATGAATTGATTGTATTGTCTTGGAAGGAGCATATGTACAGCTTTATATAGAATTACAGAGCTAACTTATAGGGTGATAAAATAGAAAACTAACTTTTCCTAGAAAACTAATTTCTATATCAGTGGAATTCTCCAATTAATATCCCATGATTCTAGGATATCCGATGATTCTAGGAAACTAACTTATGTATGTTTCCTAAACTGATGGACCTAAAATTATGGAGAATCAATCAGAGAGTCAATCTTCTACTTTCCAACAGTATCATTTGGTGAAGTGGGATTGGGTGTGTAGGGACAAACAAGATGGGGAGGTTGGGGATTAGAAGGGTAAGATTATTTAATAAAGCACAATTAGGAAATCGGTTGTAGAGATTTGAGAGTGAAAGAGAGTCTTTGTGGAGGAAGTTGATTGCATGCAAGTACGGGTTTGTGAATTTTCAGTGGGATTCAAAGGAGGTGAAGTCTTCTATGGAGTTTGTGTATGGAAAGGAATTTCACTCAGATTTCTTGAATTATGTTTCTTATATTGTTGGAAATGGGTCAAATATAAAATTTTGGTAGGATGATTGGTTGGGAGTTGGAAAGTTATGTGAGCCATGTCCAAGATTGTATAGTTTCAGCAGAAAAAATATATCAATTACCCAATGCTATGAAGTCGTTCAGGGTTCTTTTGTTGGGTGCCCAAAATTTAGAAGGCTGCTTTTTGACTGGGAGGTGGAGGAATGTAAATTGCAAGCCACAGAGATGCAAGTAGAAAGGGGGGATGCAAGGTGGTGGAAGGAGAGTAGAAATGGGATGTTCTCTTGAAGTTGTTTACAGAGCCTTCGCAAGAAATCAAGTTGAAAAGGCAGAGGTTAAAGATATTTGGAGCAATCCTATTCCATCCAGAGTTGAGGCTTTTGTATGGTTGGTTGTGTTGGACAGCATTCTCCATCCAAGATCATATTAAAGAGCAGGGGTATTCAGTTGGCAACAAAGTGTTATTTGTGTCTGTTTGAGGAAGATCATCTTCACTTTTGTTTTGGTCGTTGCTACTCGAAGATCATTTAGTGTTACTTTTTTATCTGTTCAAAATGGATTTATGAACTCCAAGATCACTGAAAGAAATTTTTTATCTTTGGCCTACTTTGTATGAAACCAGAAAAGCAAAGATAGTTTGGAGTTGTGTTCCTTTTGCAATTTGTTGGGAGCTTTGGAAGGAGAGTAACAGAAGAATATTTGAAAACCACAACAAGTGTCACAATTGTCTTGCTTCAATCATTGGGAGCAGGATTCTGGATTGGATCATGATTCTGCCAGATTTTCTGGATGATATCAAGGACTCTTTTGGGGCTGTTTTTTTGTCAGTGTTAGTTGGAATTGGGGAGCTGAAAGACTTGTATGATTTTCTTGTTGTATGTTTTCCTTGTTTTGTTTTTCTTTCTGCTTGTCGGGTGATTTCTAATCAACCCTTAGCTGTACTTTCCTTTAATCATTAATGAAATTTCTTTTTATTTATTACCAAAAAATATTTGATTGTAAGAGATTATATTCACACAACTCTAATTGTTTATGACAGGAGAAATTATCAGCACCAGCTGCCAGCAGATTTAGTGGTCCCTCTGTTGGTTCTGCATCAAAATCCGAGGGTCTTGGTTCTCCGGTTAGATCCTACATATGCTTCATTCCAATTGGTTTATATTATATGATGATATCTGCAAACTCTAACTATTCCATCTTCAGGCTAGAGAAGACCCTCCATCATATTCAGCATCTGTTACGCAGAGATATGAGTCATTTGAGAACTCACTAGCTGGGCATGGCACGCAAAGTTTTGGATCACAAGATGATGAACCAAGTTCTTCCGAAAATCCACAGTTTGGAAAAGCACTTTATGACTTCACTGCTGGTGGTGATGATGAGGTAAGTTAACCTTTTGAGTGAAAAAGTAAAATCTAAGGTACCCATGTTTTCAGCAAGAAGGATGACTCAGTGTAGTCAAAGTATCATCTAGGCAACCATCCTGGCATTTTTTGAGGCCTATCACCTAGGTGACATCATAATGGGGGCAAACAAGTGATTATGCTCCCTTTCATGTATCAATACAAGCATGTGCAACCAATTTTGGCTTACTATGAGTCTCTTAATCCGTATGTGTACTTTTGCATTGAACCATGGAAGTTATCTTGTCATTTTTTATTCAAAAGTCGTGTAAGCTATCATTAAATCATTTATTGATTTATTTTGTAATTTAGTAGCTTATAGTTAATATGTGATTGCATAATAGATGTGTAATTTAGTAGCTTATGTATGTATGTATGTATGTAATGTATGGTTGTTTATGGTTATTTATAGCAACACCTAGTTTGGGCCTAGGCATCAGATCACTTGGAATGACCACAAACAACATACTGGTACCACAATTAGATTTGTAATAAGATGGGATCTATGGTTTAGTTTTTCCCATCCAGCCAGGTCTCATTGAAAAATAACTTCACTAGATATTTTAGACTGAAATGAATTTTTTTGGGATAATCTTTCTGCAGCTCAACCTGACAGCAGGAGAGGAAGTTGAAATAGAATACGAGGTGGATGGATGGTTCTATGTAAGTATACTAAGGTGTTAAAATCCATGTCATCAAAATCTGAATTGGAATTAGTACCACTGATTTATTGGCCATTCATATTTCAGGTCAAGAAGAAACGCCCTGGAAGGGATGGAAAAATGGCTGGTTTGGTACCTGTCCTCTATGTTAGTCAATCTTGATATAATGGGAATTATCTTTACAAAGGTTTTACTGTCTCCTGTCTACATTTTATTTGGTCATCTTCTCCCTCTTCTCATACCTTGTGAGTGACATTCAAAACCTTCAATTATTTATTTATTTTTTTTTTTCTGTGAGAGTTCAACCCTACAATTATGAGTTCTTTATACTCTACAACTTTCCAGCTATTGTTTTTTCTTCCCCCGTAAGCTAAACTTTTCCTCATTAGTAGGCAATAGTAGTGAGAGCTTGAGAGCTTGAATTTGACATTGCATTTCTCATCTTTAATTTCTCTTCTCCCTTTGATTCACAAAGGTCGTCACTTCCTTTTTTTTTTTCTCTCCATTAGCACCCCCTCCCTCTTTTATAGAATTATCTAGTGCTTGCACCTTTTTTGGTTATGGTTCTTATTTGTAGGCAAATTTCCTCTCAGCTTTTTCTTTTTGTGTATTCAATCTGTTTGTCTTTGCAATTAATTTGCTGGCGTACTCTCACAATTGTAACTTCATACTTTTTAAATGAGCAATCAGTGTAGAAGCTTGATATTTCCCCAGCAATGGTGATGGTTTTTTGTATTCAATGGAATCAATTAATATGTTTCTGTTTGAAGCTTGAAAATCAATTGTTGGATCTCTCTTTTTTTTAGCACTCCAGATCCATCCAGCATTTATTCTGTTTGAAACAAACAACCAGAATCATTCAGATAATTATTTCTGAGTTTTGGTGACAACAAGAACATTGCATCGTGGAACAGTGCTAAACATACATATCCATCAGATTTGTTCTAGAGAGTCTGCCTAGGTTGCATTAATTTATGAAAACTATTGTCCGTGTGTGTATTGGGGTGTTGGGGATTGCACAGGATGGATTGCAAGATCTTTATTTATTTCTTTACTTTTCTATTCAAGCCTTAAAGGAATCTTCTTTTCTGGAGAGTGCACACAAAGTGCTTCAAGATATTCTATGAAACATCAAACATGTCCGGTGATGACCGTCCCAAATTTTGATATGGAGAGAGGTAATAATATTTTACACCAGATAATTTTGAGAAGTAAAGCAGTTCGACAGCAGAAACAATGGAGAAAGTGGAGATTATTACCTAGTTACCTGTTTTGGTAAAGTTAAATTGTCCATCTAATTAATTTTCCATCAAGAAGTAAAACATAAAAATAAAAAACTTCATCAAATCTAGGTTCAAAATGTTGATATGATACAGGGTGTATAATTATCAGATTTTAAAGGAGTTGTGCATGGTTTAATATGGTGTATAATATTATCTAGGAGCAATAGTATCAAGGAGTATTGGTGGATATGGATCAACGTTCGTTCTGTATCAACCAAAAAATAAAAACAAAAAATAGAAAAATAAAGAATTGCTAATATATATATATCCATGCATTGCCTATTTGTCCCAATATTTTGAGAGTAAATCTATGATGCGGGAAAGATATGGTATGGAAAGAGTTTTGACCAATTAAAACCCACCCATGAATTTTGATAAAAAAAAAAAAAAACCCTTATTTGCTACCACGTTTATGATTCCATCTTATTGGTCAGTTGTTTTTCAGATATCAGTTGAGTATATCTTGGTAGTTCATACTCTGCATAAAATTATTGAGATGTGTTTCTTGTTTGTTTATATTGATGCATTTATAGGATTTATTAGTAGTACATGCATTTGCATGGGGAAATTTTAAATTACAAAGACGATTATTATTATTATTTAAACTTTGTATTCCATTTCTGGAATAAATAAAAATTATTTTTATTTTAATAATTATTTTTATTTCATATGATGAATATACAACATTAGAAATTTTCCCAAATGTTTTCGATAAAATTTTGTACTTCATTTTTTTTGTGCTCTATCTTTATTTAAAATATTTACTATTCAATTATCGCATCATGAGTTTCTTTAAAAAATTGGATCATTGACCCACCATCTAAATAATAAAATAGCATTGCTTTCTGATTAGTTTTAAATTATATATTTCATTGTTATTATATAAATAATTACTTATCACACTTGATTTTTATTTGATATAATTAATATATATTTTTTATATATTATTTTGATTTTTTGTACTTCTTTATTTTTTTAAGATTTATTATTTAACTATCATATCATTGATTAATCTATTTGACCCAAACCACTAAACCACCACCCAAAAAGAAAAATAGTTTGATTTTTAGGTTGACATTAAATTTTGTATTACATCTCCATCATTGATAAAATTATTTCCTATGTATAATACTTATTTTTGTTCAATATAATGATTGCATAATATTAGAGATGTGCCCAATATTTTATTTTTTATAAATATATAACATTAAATATGTTCCCTAATGTTTTTCTATTTTTTTTTATTTGTGATTCTTTGTATTTTCTGTTTTTAAAAATTTTATTATTCGATTATGATATCATTTTATTTCTATGTTGATTTTAAATTTGTATTTTCTGTTTCCTAAGCGTATCCATGCATTGCCTATTTGTCCCAATATTTTGAGGGTAAATCTATGATGCGGGAAAGATATGGTATGGAAAGAGTTTTGACCAATTAAAATCCACCCATGAATTTTGATAAAAGAAAACCCTTATTTGCTACCATGTTTATGACTCCATCTTATTGGTCAGTTGTTTTTCAAATATCAATTGAGTATATCCTGGTAGTTCATACTCTGCATAAAATTATTGAGATGTGTTTCTTGTTTGTTTATATTGATGCATTTATAGGATTTATTAGTTTTTAAGTACTAGTAATTAAGTACATGCATTTGCACGTGGAAATTTTAAATTACAAAGACTATTATTATTATTACTATTATTATTATTATTATTATTATTATTATTATTATTATTATTAAACTTTGTATTCCATTTCTGGAATAAATAAAAATAATTTTTATTTAATATGATGAATATACAACACTAGAAATGTTCTCAAATGTTTTTGATAAAATTTTGTACTTCTTCATTTTTTTTTTGTGCTCTATCTTTATTTAAAATATTTATTATTCAATTATCGCATCATGAGTTTCTTTAAAAAGTTGGATCATTGGCCCACCATCTAAATAATAAAATAACATTGCTTTCTGATCAGTTTTAAATTATATATTTCATTTATATTATATAAATAATTACTTATCACACTTGATTTTTATTTGATATAATTACTATATATTTTTATATATTATTTTGATTATTTGTACTTTTTTATTTTTTTAAGATGTATTATTTAACTATCATATCATTGATTAATCTATTTGACCCAAACCAATAAACCACCACCCAAAAAGAAAAATAGTTTGATTTCTAGGTTGACATTAAATTTTGTATTACATCTTCATCATTGATAAAATTATTTCCTATGTATAATACTTATTTTTGTTCGATATAATGATTGCACAATATTAGAGATGTGCCCAATATTTTATTTTTTATAAATATATAACATTTAATATGTGCCCTAATGTTTATCTATTTTTTTTATTTTAGTGATTCTTTGTATTTCTTGTTTTTAAAAATTTTATTATTTGATTATGATATCATTTTATTTCTATATTGATTTTAAATTTGATATTTCATTTTCATCATTAATAAAAATACTTCTTACATTTCATACTTATTTTTGTTTAGTATAATGAATATACAATATTAGAGATATGCCCAATTCTTTTTTTGTATTATATATTTTATTTATTTTATTATTTAATCATGACATTATTTATTAACCAATTTGACCTCAAATGATTGAATACTTGAATTGCTTACCCATTGGAGGGAAGAAAATGGTTTTGTTTTCGAATTACTTTTCAAAATATTTATTTTTATACTATTAAAATTAATATTATAGATTTAATTAGTTTAATTTAATGATAAGAAAAAAATATCTTAAATATAGGATGCGATGAAAGAATATACCTTAGATATGAGATTGGTTTTAAATTTTATTTCCAATTAGTTTTAAATTTTAAGGAAATTTCCTGATTAGTACCCTATCCTCTGGCTGGAGTGACAATTTGGTCCCCAAACTTTAAAATGAGATAGTCCAATACTTGAACTTTTCAAATGCAACAATTCGATACCTATCGTTGACAGACCGTCAACCAGTGCCATCACGTGACACCATATTCAAATTAAATAATTATAAAATGCCAAAGTTACCATTATTGATAATTTTTGGATCTTTTTATCCGTTTCTTTTTAAACAAATAAAAGAAGGGTAAAAGACTAGCTCATCTTCAGTACTGGGTTGGAAGACCTGCAAGGATCTGAGCATGCGGACGGCTCCCTGTTAGAAGACCAGTGAAGAGGATCTCCGGTCTGAAGGTAAGCTGTTGCCGTCACTCCCTATCCTCCTTCATTGCTGACTGACGAAGAAGGGCCATTTTTTTCATGATTGTTGCTGGTTCATTGGGAGTGATGGCAAGAACTTAAGAGCCTGGTAGATGTTGGCTAATAGATGTTGTGGAAAGGCAACAGGGAGCTGCTGCAAGAAACAATGAACTAGCAACAATCAAGAAAACAAAATTAAGAATTAATAAAATGATTTAATGAAACAGACACTCTGAGAGAGAGAGACCTATCAGTTCGCTCCCTGAGCCTGAGAAGAAGTTTCTCGATATCGTCCTCAACAACCTTGACGATGCTATCCATGAGCAGCTTCTTGTCATCAACACCAAGTTTTGTAATGTCAACCTCATTTCGAACAACCCTTCCACTATCCAGGACCTGCGTCAGCATTCTCCTCTTCAAATGGTCGTATGTAGGGAGCCTCTCGATAGCAGCCCATTTCAGCTCCCCCTAATCATCTCCATGCCTCCCGCTCAAACTAAAAACATCCGGTACAGCGCTCCAGACCTAGCGACTCATTGAGCCCCAACTTCTCCGGCTACTCGGCTATCTCGCTAGATCGTCACCATCCAAAGCTGAAGCCATTGTTGAAACTTCTCATAAAACTTTTGGAGTCATTGTGACCCGAACATATACTTATGTTACCTGACAAATTCAAATCACAAATAACTTCATCCGAATTGCCAACTGTGTGACTTCATATTCGCCCAAAAACTCAACAGAAATTAGCTTATTTGCGTGCAAAATGCGTGCCTCCCCAAGCTGCAACAATTCGTTGAAAATTTTGACTCCTCAATCCTCTATTCCGCCTCGTATGATTATATTGATTCAAAACAATAAAAAAGACTAAGCAAAAATGAACCGCTTTTCTCTGGACAATCCCCCACTCCTCTTCTTCCAAACAACAATCCTTACTATTAGTCTATCCCGCACAAACAGAGCAACCCTCTTTTTATAGTTCTTTGACGCTTAGTCAACTCTCACTGAAAAGAACAAAAAATCACTATACAGATTCAGACGATATTTACTTTGAAAATGGGTGTGAAAATCTCAGGATGAAAGTTGAGTATGTACTACAAAACTGGGTGTTCACTTATGGTTGTAGGAGATGAGATAAACTATGGAACTGATAGATGTTCTAGATCCGTGTTTACTTGGCTTGTATATGTTGTAAGATTATCACAAAGCGGTAAACAGGGAGACCTAACTCCTCCTCTACAAATCAAAACCAGTGCTTAAGCACCGCCAGAGCAGTAAATGGCAATCCTTCCAGTTACTCTAGCCCACACAAACAGAGTGACCCTCTTTTTGTAGTTTTTACCCTTAGTCAACTCTCCTCTGAAAAGAACAGAACATCGCTAGACAGATTCAGACAATGTTCTACTCTGCAATGTTTCTCTTGGGCTTCTCTTCTCAGAGAAGGATTGCAGAGAGAGAGATTTTGAGAAAAAAAAAAAGTTTTGCCGGCGTGTCAAAGATTACTACTCTTTAGTCTTTAGAGAGAGAAAAGAAGGTTCGATCAGTCAACGGTAGAGCAAATCTGAGCTTTCCCGCAGCAATTGAAACGCCTAAAATGAGACTCTGGAACTGAATTCCGATGGAGTGAATCCGAGCTTTTCCGGCGGCCTATTCCGCTCATCAGCACCGACGGGGAGAACTGTGCTATTTGGAAGATTAGAGCAGTGAACAGTGGTTTCCACTCGTAGTGAAAGGTTATTATAGTGGAGGTCATTTTTGTCATTTCGAAAATGACTCAAAGTCGGTTATTGAAAATGAGATGGGTATTTGTCTCTTTTTATGCACTGGTTGACGGTCCATTAACGACAGGTACTGATCGGGAAATTTCGGGTACTAGGTTGTCACATTTTATAGTGCAGGGATAAAATTGTCACTCGAGCCAAAGTACAGGGTACTGTTCGGGAAATTTCCCTAAATTTTATATTCTATTTTCAACATTAATAAAAATATTTATTATTTTTTCATACTTATTATTGTTTAATATGCTGAATATATAATGTTAAAAATGTTTCTAGTTTTTTTAATTTTAATTTTCTTTTTTACATTTTATCTATTATTGAATTTTATCATTTAATTGTGATAACATGGATTGGCCCATTTGACCTGAAGTGGTTTAATTTCTTACCCACTTAGATGAAAACATTATTTTCTTGAGATAGATTTTAAAGTATAAGCTTTTATATTAGTGAAATTATTAGTTTATTATGTATTAATTTAATTAATAAAATTTAATGATGAGAATAAACAAAAATGTCTTAAATATATGATTAAGTGAAGGTGAATGCAAGTTAATACCTTAAATATTGGATTTAATGAGAGGAGATTGAATGCATTAAATAACATAAAATTATCTCTTTTTAACTCATTTAATATCAATTACAAATTATCCTATTTACCCTCATTTTTTATCAATAAATTAAATAAGGATAAATGTTGTCCTCAATAAATTTCAGAAATATTATTGAGGCTATCTAGTGGTTTTTAAAGTAGTATAAATAGATATCCTAATCACCCCACCATATCCAAGATTATCCAAGCATATATGTCCCAGACGAATGCAAAATGGTTTAATAGACTGTAACGTGCCTCTGATCTTAAATTCCGTTCTCTTTTTCTTGGCACAAAGATCTTAAATTCCAATTTCCAGTATGTGGCAAGAGGACCCTAGACCTAATGTCATATGTGGTTACAGATAGCTTTTGGGTCATCTGTGACACAGAGCCATAACACATAAGTCAGTTCCGTCAGATCCTGACCGGCCAGGTGGTTGAACTGGTGCCCATTTTGACTTTTGACTTTTCCAAATAAAATCATCTAAGAATCTGGTCGACTGACCTTTCTGGTTTTCTGTCCAGTCTGATGAGATCTGCTTCTGTCAGGGCAAACCTGTGCCCATGAATAAGGTACGTAAGGAGATATGCAACCTTGGGAAAATCTCCCCATGAATAAGGTACGTAAGGAGATATTATCAATGCAAGGCAATAAAGACTGCTCAAACGGGCTCTTCCCTGACAGAAGCCGATCTCCAGTCTGATAACATTGCCATAAATGAGTCCAGGAGCCTTACAACTTGCCACGTTTCCTTGTTTCAAAATGTGATCCATCATTTAATTCAATTTTTTGGGGATTCGATTATGACACCAGAAAAAAAATTGTAACCGATCAACCGGTATCATAAAAGTTGTAACCTTTATCAAAATTCACCCCAAATGGTTTGACTAGTCAAAGCCCTTCAGGTATCATGTCTTTCCGGCTGTCCAGCAGCATAGATTACATCGTTAAATTGAACGGATCCCAGTTAAAAATTGACAATGCCAAAAATCAACAAATTGATTAGGCAATTATTCGTTAAGATTTGTTTTTTTTTATCAATAACAAGAAATTTCATTAACAGAATAAATTTAACTGGAGGGGAGCTAAACTATCTTAACTTCCTAAGGATGTCGACAGACACCCAAAAAAGAAGAAAAAGTGAAAAACAATTACATCTGAGCCCAGAAAACAGAATCCTTATTCACCCCTTGCCTAGTTAACCCATCTACAAAAGAATTGCAGTTCTCTTTACCCATGTGCATTTAACTTCATTGTCCCTAATCAGCCACTTAAACTTTCTTTTTTCATTGCTGTAGTTTCAGAACCTATAGTTGTCTCTTTAACCAGTTCATTACAATCTCAGAATCTCCTATAACCAGCTTATTGATATTCGTGTCTTCAGCTTTTTGTACCCCTCCCAAGGCTGCTAGTACCTCGGTCCTCAAACAATCTCCCACTTCTATTGGGCCAGAGAACATAGTTATCACATTCCCTTCCTCGTTCCTTAAAACTCCCCCAATACAAGAAGGCCTGGATTTCTCATACTACTATTATTCGTGAAGATTCACTTCAAACTTAGCAGAAACTTTGCTCCACCATCCAACTAAATGCAGTAAAATCCTCCCTCAGCTGTTGATTTAGAAAGAAACCACCCAAAGGTTCTGGTTCTGCCCCGGTTAATTCCCTTCTCAGATCCAAAACCAAGTTTCAAACAGACTTCCAATTCCTCATCTTTAGGTGACAATATCCAAAGTCTCATGCTATGATTGCCGTCCCAAGAACAACCTAAGTCGCTTATATGATTCCAAGTTTTGATGAGGAATATTATGGATTCATACACAATGGGTAAGGTGATGATGAGAATAAGCTGGTGGAGTTCAATAATAATGGTGATGTGGATTGTATGAAGCATGGAAATGCACAGCGAATCAGTCACACAAAACATATAAATTCTCAAGGAGAGTTTGTATAAACAAGGCCATCTTATGATTGACACATAAATGAAATATAAATCTTACAACAGGAAGAGATTATTACACAGGCTACTGGGCATAACGAATAGAAATGGAGTCACTGAGGATGAAATCACTCCAATGTGTTGCTTTTGAGCTCTTTTTCAGTGGCAGCAGCAAAGTGGGATCACCATAGACCATACTAAACACACTGAAAACCAGTACTGTCAGTTGTGATGATTCTCTTGTTTTGTGTGACTAGAAGGCAACTGGTGTCTTTACATTTGAACCATCTTGGAACCTTCTTCTCTTCTTTCTTCCATATTTTTGCAGTCAAGGACTTGAACAGGCTCCTCACATAAGTTGCCAATGCAGTGACAAGTTCTCTGCAGAAGAAAATAAAAAACACACTCTGAAGTAGTCACAAGACAAACAAAAGGTAGCGACCAATCTATGGTCCTACAAACCGATATTGTCAGCGAAGGAAAGCAAAATCACCCCTTGAAAGAAATACCAAAGGAATGCATGCTATTTCTAGCAGAATGTATATAATACTGATTTCTTTCGTGAGACACCTTCAACTCATGTTTAAATCCATAAGCTAATAATTAAGTCATTACACAGGTAATGTGTTAATCATAACTCCACCATGGAAAGCTATTTGACACTGATATTCTGTTACTAAGCTGTCTAGATATGTAATAATATATGTGCAATATATTGTAACTGACGGTTGTTCCTAAATCAGTTTTTTTTTGGCCTGTAGTCAGACGCTGTGTTTTGCCCATTGAAATTCTAAGGAGCATAAATGATTCCCAAGGAAATAACAAGTCAAGCGCACCTAGACACCTACCTGGCTTAAAGCAGGAAGAGAATTAAATTCAGGTATAATAATACCAAAAGACAATAAATACCCACAATACTAGAAGAGAGCAATATACCCAGTATCTATTGCTATCAAAAAGAAATTTCACATCATTGTGTTAGTTTTTTAACTTAGGAACTTAGACAAAACCCAGTTGAGCCATTTTCAGGGCCATTGCCCAATGTTGGTTCCAGCTATATGGAATCTTGGAAGGGGTGACCCGGATAATGGACCCAACCTTTGCCATATCCAAAAGTGGCTGATCCCATAATTGAACTCATATGTTCACACTTGTCACTTGACATTTTACCATTGCACCAAGCAATTTCAGGATTAACCATGAATCTCCTCCATCCATCTAATTAAGAGTTTTCCTTGATTCAACAACTTGGAAAGCTATGGCTCCTCTTTCTATGTATAGGGGTGTAAGAAACTGGCCTTACATTTGTAAAGTAATAAATTCTACCAACACCCAAACTAATCAAGAGAACTTCATAATTTGTCCATGACATGAATAAGATCAACCAAATCATATTTCCATGGCAACGGCAACAAGATACCAACTAACCAGTTTCTAAACTTTTGGAAAAAGGAAATAGAAAATAAAGAAGGAAAAGGAATGTTGTACTTACAGTGGAGAGCAAGGAGATCGGCCACCATTTATGTAATACAAAAACAAGTACGAATCATAATGTTGACCCTTGATGTAATAAAAATTTGACAGCCTTTGTATGCACTTGAACATCATTTTCTGGTAGAAACGAATGGCTGGATCATTGTAAGCAATGACATGCAAGTAGACTGCTCGACAAGTAGGAATATTTGATGCATATTTGATAACCTCTCGAATAAGTGAAGTAGCTGCACATCCAACAGTATGAACCATTTAGTAGGTCAAAGAGGAATTCATAAAACAAAGAACAGACTAGAAGAAAACTCTCACCTATTCCAAGACTTCTATAAGACTCTACTACACCCAGCGTCAGAATATAAACAAGTGTCTGATCTGTCCGTGAAGAGTCACATCTAAGCATATCTGCTATCTGTCAGGTAAATAATTGGTTACAACAAATCATTACCATTGAACACAAAAAAAAATATCAGTATATTTTTCTCATGACAAAGATAGAGGCTCACTTCACTTTCTTTAGCTGGGATAGTACGAGTAGTGACAAATCCAATAAGTTCATCACTTTGACAGCCAGGCCTATTACGGTCAACAGCCCCCCATGAAACAATATCATAGCCATTGACTACATTTAGGAAGAATTCGGACTCATACCTGAAAACAACATCCTCACAAATAAAGTCATAATGTTTTATGTATATTGAATATGTGCACAGACCTGGGAAAGCATCATCTTGGAGAATTTTACCTGATGGGAAATAGATCTGCATGTATCTGCTCAAGAACTTCAAGATCAGATGGCATTATAGGCCTATAAACAATATTTGGACAAAGTTGGGCCTTTGGGTCCACCATTGAAGATTATGGTGCTAAACCCCTTCAAGCATAAGATTTTTTGGAGAACATATAGAAGAAATTCTGTCTCCATTTACATCATTTCTCCAATAGCAGCCATGAAATTGTTGGAAAGCATGGAAACACTTTGTTTTCCCATGTTTCCTGTAATCATGAAGGGAAGAAGCAAATTAAGTAGGATGTTAACTGATGCCTAAAACCAAATAGAAGCTTCCTCATATAATTCGAGATATGATACAACTTATAGTTGCTAATTTCTCCCAACTTCATGCAGGCAGCTACTCAACAAATATACAGTCCCTTGTAGATGACCAAAAATCTAATTCCTGCTGCAGCAGGTATGTAAAAATTTAACACAATGGTCAAAAAGCAAATTCCATCAAATTGACATATCTTGATCAAGTTTTGTTTTTATTTTCTTCTTTTCTTTATTGGCATTCACCAATTTTTTTCAACATTTCCACAATAAAGCATGTCTAAATTTGAACTACATTGTCACCCTTCTAGGGTTTCAGGTATGAAACAAAGAAGAAGAGTTTGGGAGGGTGTCCCCACCCCCAAAGTGTATGTTTTACTGAGCAGGGCAAAGGATATGTACAATTACATAAATACCCCTTATTATGTGGGCAGATTACAAAAATAGCCTATATACATTCTATTGTAATACAACGAGACCTACCAATACAAGAATAAAATAACAATAGAATCCAACCCTATCTACATACATATTCCTCCTTTTCTTGATGCTGGTGATGCAGCTTTATCCCCCATAGGGGCCAGGTGCTATACGCTAGACCTAGTCACTGGATTAGCAACAGGGTGCACATAGGGCCCACTGGGACACAATGTGGGGAACCTGCCTTTCCACATTTTGATCCTGTATCTCCTAAATACGAGGGATGCCTTACAGCCAACTCGACAAAAGTGGATTGGCACTACGTATTCCTCCTCAAGTATTCCTTTTTTTAGGTAACTACTGATTTCATTAATATATAAAAGAGTTATAAAAGTCTCATGAAAAAAGAAAGATGCAAACTATGCCAAGCAGCCAAGGAGACAAAAATAAACCAATACATCAATGTCTCAAGTCTCATTCCATAGATTCTTTATGACCAATCTGATCATGTCCCTAAATTATTTCAGTACCAAAGCCCATTCCACAAGGTTAAGCATTCCCATTCACATCATTTATCACCCCAAAATCGTACCTTCTCTCCATTCCCAACTCACAATTCAAGATAAAATTATTATCACTAGCCACTGGATCTCCATTCAGTTGCTCATCTTGTCTTAAGCATGGTTTTTTTTTCTCCCTTTATGAAATTTTAGCAACATAAAAGACTAGATCAACCAGACTTTTCCTTAAGTCTTCTTTGCGAAAGGGCAACATTGAAGGGGCCCTTTAAAATTCTTATCTCGTTAGCAATAGATCCATGTAGCCAACATCAGGATATTAGAGAAGAAAAATGGGATGCTGATTGACCCTTTTCTGCAAAAGTCAAGCATCATAAATGGATCTATTATTTTGGTCCTTTAAAGTGCTTGTTTTGCTAGCAATAGATGCATATTAGGGTTATTTTTTTGAGAAAAAAGGTAAAAAATGTATTTCATTAAAAGGAAATATAATTACAAAGACCTGCAAAATAGATGCATATTAGAGTTATCATAAAAGAAAAATGGGATACAGATGAATCCTTTCTGTGAAAGAAAGAGTGAATGAACGAATCTTTTCCATTTACAATTTATGTAAGAAGGCTTATTATCATATACTATGCCTTTGACAGTTTGACTGCAGTGAAGTTTTAATAGCTGAATCACTTCTTAAATGTAAGTTACATCTGATGATAAATAGAGTAATGAAAGTTCAGAGTCTTCCGAGGATTTAGAACTCTTCCATCAAGAAAAGCCAAAACAAAGATGAACATAATCTATAAAGAAAGGGGGCTAATGTCAATCCCTATTCTAAACCAGTACTGCTGAAATCTCACTGAACTACTGAATTAAATTTTGTTGTTTTAATTCTCCATTTAGGTTATTTTGATAGGTTTGTCTATGCCTTTTGTTGTTTTAAAGATGAACATGATCTATAAAGAAAGGAGGCTAATGTCAATCCCTATTCTAAACCAGTATACAAAAGGCACTCAAAATCACCAATAATCACTACTGAACTACTTAATAAGACAGCCTAGCAAAAAAACAACTTACTAAGACAGACATAATGATAGAAGGTGTCTTATAGTGATTAACATCAAACAATAAAAGCAAAGAAGTCCCAATCAGAATCATAAGTGCCATAAAAATTTGACAAACATTGTTGTTTTTCCTAGTAATGATACCTTTCGACCATATCGAAAACACCAACGTAATGATTGAAGGGAAAGAAGCAAGAAGTAACTAATCATAAGGCATAGACAAACCAATCAAAATAACCTAAATGGAGAATTAAAACAACAAAATTTAAACCATTATCACACAAGATATTGATCGTATCCAACATGACAATCCCTCAGCTTTGAAAACACCAAATTCAGCAGCTTAGCTATAAAATAACAAAAAGGAAATTAAGAAAATTAAGTTAACGGGATCTTGGAAGAGCCAGGTCCGTCAAATGACTGAACAAACAGAACTCACCGATTTCCCATTATATCATCTGAGTCTCTAGACCACAGTTCATTCTGACCATACCCACAATCATGAAATGGCATGAAACCCACTTCCAGAAAAGCCATTATCATAAGAATCACTTAACAGAGATCCAATTTCCCAGTACTAAAACACAAAAACCACGGATTTCAGTGTTCTAGTAACTCTAAAGGAAAATTAGGAAGGACAAAAAGAAAAGGAAAAGAAACCCAATTCAGAAACACCCACACTCTTGATCAACCAGTGACGAAGATGAAACAGGTGGATCAATAAATTAAAATAACTGAAATTCAAATCGGTAAGTATAAGTTTCACGTCAAACAAAACGAGACCCAGATGATAATTTACCAGCCGGATCAAAAACAGAAACTCGTACCTTATTTCTGGGACGCCAAAAAGGATCAACGTTCGAAGAATTGGGACTTTCAGAAGAAAAGAGTTGACGGTGATGTTGTATTCTACTATTGTTCTTCCCCTGCGAATTCGTCTTTGGCAACTGGAATAAATGCGAGCACGTGGGTGTTTCGGGCGTTTCCCAGATTTGGATTCTGATTTCCGAAAGCCGACTCGCAGCTCGGCCTACCTCTGGTGGTTAAGGAATAGGAAGCGGGTTTATCCGGTAAGCCCATACCCACTAGGCCTGTATATAAAATCTGAAACTCCGGAGCCCGATTCGACAATCCGATCCGATTATCGGATTTGGATGTGCTGTACGTAATTGGATTTGGATTTTGAAATCTTGTCAATATAACAGTCGAATCAGAATTGGATTTAACTTCAATCCGATTAAATTCATTATGTTATATATAAGGGAGAATGACCAACCAGCCCGGATCAGAATTTTATGGCCCCAAACTACAAGGGGAATGCATCCTGACCGTAAATTGATGTCAAATTCATGGGCAGAATGTGATTTATAGGGGGGGAGAGGACTAGTAGTCTAGTAGTAGGGGGGCTGGAATTCAGAATTCTGCATGGTGTGTATCCGCACTTGTCCATATATATAATAAATTTAGTATGTTTGGATTTAACTTCAATCCGATTAAATTCATTATGTTATATATTATAAATTCAGTATGTTATATTTACATTAATTTATTATATATAAAAATTAAAAGGTAATTAATTTTTTAATTTTTTTTTATAATTTAAAAAATTAAAATGAATCTATTAGAATTCTAATTTGAATCCATGGTCTTCAAATCCAATCGAACTTTTATCAAATCTGATTGCAATCCAATCCATTTACAGCCCTAAACTTGTCGTGCTCACAAAACGAGTTACATTTGAAGTGAATTGACTTACTCTGGATCCACACGAGAATGGAGGAAGCGGGTGTGGATCACAGATTTATAAACGGGCCCATTTGGACCCATTTATAAATGGGCTCATTTGAATAGCATTCTAAATTCTGAAATCTGGATTTTAGACTAGCGTGTGTTTTGTAAAAGGGGTGAAAAAATTTCTCATTCAAATCGTCTAAGAAAACAAAAGTTTTTATTGTAAATGGTATGATATGTATCAATTTTTGAATTCGCGGCGAAATAATGAACATATAGAAAGGAACCAAGCTGCTGATTGACTAGTTAATATGGACCATTGGGGTCAACCTCATTAAAAATAAGGTTCAAAATCATGTATCAGTGGATAATAAGGAGTCTTTGAGGATTTCACGTATTTCACGTGGTAGACGGGCCTAAAACTTACCCCTGACCTATTTTTCAAAAAAAAAAAAGATGGAGCAAGGTTCAAAGTACTGATACAACCCTACTTTGAAACGCATGACACGCAAAAATTGTATATGACACATGAATACTTTGAACCATGGTGGAGAGTCGAGACTGAGATGAGGCAGAGGACAAGTCACAAGCACAAGCTGAGCTGGACAAACCTCCGTCCAGCTAGGAGCAATGTCAGCTTGCTGAGGAGAGCTCTAATAGTACAAGGACAAAGTTGAGGGTTGGGTTGGATCATAGCAGAAATGAAATCAAGGATTTTGCGAGTGAAAGCTACATATATCACCATCATGTGTTCCTGTGACTCCTATCTGGTATCAAACTTGAACAAGACAAGAAAAAAACAGCACAAATGGGAGGTTGCAGCCTTGCAGGGTTGTCATGTTGAACCTTGTTGCTCCCCTTCAATAGAGTGCCAGAGTGGGGCACCCATGAGCATGAATGTCCTATCTGTCATCAATGCTCAGTTAAGGCTGCAACTTGGGCCGGGTTCGCCCGAATCCAATCCTAACCCAAACCGAAAAAGTCAGGTTGGGTTGGGTCGGGTTGGTGCTTGGATTAGGGTTAGGGTTGAAATTTATGAATCCGACTTTACTTTGGGTTGGATTAGGATTGATCCCTCGGACAACCCAACCCAACCCAAATCTGACTCTATAGTATATATCATATATAAATATCTATACTACTTTAAAAAGCACGAATGGCCTCAAGAATATTTCTAGAATTTTTTATGACAAAATTCATCCCTCTGTATTTAAATTTATTGATAAAAAAATGGAGGCAAATAGGATAATTGATTATTGATATTAAATGATTTGAAAAGATGTTATTTTAAGATATTTGTTGTAAGGCTTGAGTGTTCCTTGTAACTGATGTTAGTGGGACAGTTTCAGCTACTAGTCCTTTCTTTTTTTCTTTTCTTATTATTCTTATCCTAGGATATGCCGCCAGGGGCATACTTGTATTTTTGCCTTTTTATAAAGATTAATATAAATAGAAGACCAGCAGCTGCCAGTAGTGAGTTTTGCTTTTCTTTCTATCATCTGTACCTCTCTTTTCTCTCTCCCTCTCTCTCTCTCTCAGTCATCACAAGAAACAACATGGTATCATAGCGGAATTTATGGGCTGGAGAAGACCTATAATCCTAGCATTAGTCTTTCCAAAGGGGATTGGACGTGGCTACTTTTGTTTCATAAGAGAAAAACAAAAAACCCTAGCGGTGGCTTGTGTTTTCAATTTTCTCTAGCGGCTGTGCTTGCAGAAACCCTAGTAAGCCTTGCAGCTGTACTTCTACTGAAACCCTAGTAGCCCCATGCGACAGTTACTGAAAATCCTAGCTGTGTCTGGCCGTGGGATGGTGCTGGTCTGTTGAAACCCTAATCGAAGGAGGGTGTTGATGGTGCAATGAAACCCTAGCAGGTTCTGATCTAGTGCTGAACAAGTGTGGTTCTAATCGAAGGAGGGTGTTTATGGTGCAATGAAACCCTAGCAGGTTCTAATCTAGTGCTGAACAGGTGTGGTTTTGTTTCAGTTTATCTCAGTATTCTTTATCCAATGGTGTGTAGGGCTTATGCCTTGATTATATGATTACTAGTTTGAATAATTGGATGGTTAGAGTGGGGGAACCACAATCGGACTGACAGTAATGTCTGTATTGGTGGTGCTGAACCGATGACTGGACTATTTATTGTTCTGTTTGGACGTTGTAGTGACTGATCTCTCATTTTCAGCAGTAGTTCTTGTGCTCTCAGCAATATTCAATAGTTTGTTGCTCACATAGGAGTAAACCCTGAGTTGCCACATTCTAGTTGTGGCGGCTGTGCTGTTAGGTGGCATTTGGACTGGTTGGTTGTAATTTTCAATGGCAAGTCATGAACTGACATCACCGGGGAACACCTCAACCCGCAACACAGTAGGTATGGGAGGTGAAACCATGGTTTTTCCCATGCCAATTACCCCTTTGAATGGTTTGAACTACCTGGAGTGGGCCAAGAGTGTAAAACTCTATGTAACAGCAAGGGGTAAGGCCAGTTATATCAATGGAAGGGTGAAAGAACCCAAGGGTGATACAGCTGAACATGATAGGTGGAACCAAGAAAATAGTATGGTGATGTCTTGGCTCCTCACAGCTATGGAACCTGATGTGAAGAAGAATTTTATGTGGGCAGACACCGCTAGTGAGATCTGGGAACAGACCAAAAGTACCTATTCTGAGCAAAGGCATTATGCCAAGATTTACCAACTACAAGCTGAGTCCTCTACCTGTAAACAGGGAAACCTTAGCTTGTCCTCATATTATTCATCTCTTACCTCCATATGGAAGGAGTTGAACCATTATCAGGCCATAGAGTGGAAGCACGATGATGATGCTAAGGCCTACAGGAAGCTGATCTCTCAACAACGAATGTTTGCTTTCTTGTTAGGGTTGAACCCTGTATATGAACCATTAAGGGTGCAAATTCTATGAAGCAAAGAATTGCCTACAGTACACGAAGTATACTTCCTTGTCCAATTTGAAGAAAGCAGGTGAAGTGTGATGGTTACAGCCGAGGGGGAGCAACAAGTTGCCTTGGCTGCGGTGAATAACAGCCCAACAGGGAAGAAAGGTGATCCTAAGAAGGCAGATGATAAAGAYAAACTCTTTTGTACCCACTGTAGAAGGTCATGACATACACGTGACACCTATTGGGATATCCATGAGAAACCTAAGTGGGCAGCAAAGAATCAAAAACAGGGTAAAGGTCACGTGAAAAGAATGAGTGCAGCACATGTGGCAACCCAAGACACTCAAGTTGCCGGTAGTACCTGGGACCCTCCTAATAAGCCTGACTCCAAGGAGGATATAATGAATTCTTTCAAAAAGCATCTGGAATCTTATGGTAGGGCATTGCGGCAATTGGATAGCTCAGTCACTGATACTCCCTCTACCTCTTTTTCATCTACTTCAGGTAATGTGGCTTCTGCATTCCATGTCACTCCCACAGATTCCCCTTGGATTATTGACTCAAGGGCCTCAAATCACATGACCGGTAAGCCTAACMTATTCCATTCTTATARCCTTTTGTCAGGAARGGATAGAGTGAGACTTGCAGATGGTTCCTTTTCTTCCATTGTAGGTCAAGGATCGATATCCCTTCCCCATGGCCTTAACCTGAATTGTGTATTGCATGTCCCTCAACTTTCCATAAATTTGCTTTCAATTAGTAGCATTACAAGTTCTTTAAACTGTAGTGTAACCTTTTTAGCTGACTCATGTGTTTTTTAGGACCTAACTTCTGAGAGGACGATTGGTAGAGGAAGCCYAGTGGACGGTCTCTACATTCTCGACAACAAAGCTGGTCTTTCCGTGTCATCCTCAGAGTCACATAGCCAGTCAAATAAGAGTCAAATTTTGTTGTGGCACAGTCGTTTAGGTCATGTTTCTTTCGAAGTAATAAAATGTTTGTTTCTACTTTTATTTAAGTCGTGTTCAGTGTCAGAGTTCATGTGTCAAACATGTCAGTTGAGTAAACAATGTAGAACAACCTTTCATTCAAGCAATAAAAGATCAAATGTTCATTTTCATGTTGTGTATTCTGATGTATGGGGGCCTACAAATGTAACCGCTGAGGGTGGATATCGGTATTTTATTACATTGATTGATGATTACTCTCGCTATACATGAGTAATCCCTATGCGTAGCAGAGATGAGGTTCCAAAGATAGTACAAGACTTCCAGAGGATGGTGTTTACACAGTTCCATCTTGAAATACAGATCTTCCAATCCGATAATGCGAATGAGTACTTCCATGGGGAGCTAAATGAGTTCTTCACTTCCCATGGGTC